TAGGAAGTCTACCTTAAATGTGGGTTACACTGAAATCCTCCAGGGAAAAAGTTAAACCACCTGCTTAATAAGAGTATCTTTTGTGTGTGAAGTTGTTCCATCCCTAGGTGATTTCTAGGCCAGGAAAATCACTACACACCCTGCACTTTCATTTTGCAGTTGAATAGCAAACAAATGACCCAGTGCTTCTTGTACTGTTTTTTACATCTGTTTTCCTTGCTTTTGTGTCATGCCTCTGTTTAGCTTTATTGACAAAACAATCTGTGCCTAATGTTTAAACAACATCTGTAAAATGTATTATTAAATTATGTTGGAAGAAAAAGCAAAGCAATTCTATGAAACCCTGTGACCCCCTATTGATTTTTAGATCACAGAAGTTGAAAGGATAATTTGTGAATGTTTTAACATTTACGTCGACACAGGTACCTATATTTATAGAATCTTTGATTACTTATAAAAGTATTTGCTACATTATTACCATAACTCAGAAAGAAACCTGACCTTTAACAGTTGAATCTGTTTATTATAAGGGAGATCCTATTTTTTTAAAATAAGTTTACATTTTTACCTGCCAGTGGCATAAATCTCTAAGGATAACATACTTCCCCCCCACCACCACCACCTCCACTGGTAATAAATGGGAAGTGATGCCTGAATGCTTTGCAGTTTTGAAGGCAGTAAATGAAGTAACTAGGAAAATCTGGTATATGTACTAAATCTGAGAATGGTAGAGCTGTGATAGTTCTGTAAAAAGTGTCACCTCAGATGTTAAGATGCTCCCTGGAATTTTATGCACCCAACTGATGGAGAGTGATTTTTCTTTCTGCATACAGACTGCATTTCACATACACTATATATTTTGCACCTAAGATCCATATTGCTTTCTCAGAGCATAAAGAAATAATCATTTAACATTAGGCCTTAATGGGAAAGTGTTTGGATGAGCAGTAGTAAACAAAGAAACTAAAATTTATTCAATACACCCTAGGCTAGAACTCCGCTGAGGCAGAATGTTGTCTGAGGCATCCAGCAAGGAAGATAAAACCACAGGCCCAAGTCTGCATCGTATCGAAGTCCCAGCTCTGCAACACTGCTCTGAAAACAGAGAAGGAAGGCCATTCTACACTCACATTTCCAAATAAAAAAATAAAGTTGGTGTATTCAGGAGAAAAAAAAAAGAACCAAAGATTGACTTTGTGTGTGTGTGTGTGTGTTTTCTTTAAAGTTCAACCTAAATAATTAAAGATCTAAATAACCATCTCAAAATGTAGGAAGTTTCTGCTTAAATGACTAAAACATTCAACATTGTAGTAATATGCTTTCACGGCTGATATAACAGAAGTAATTTTCATAGCCACAACAACAATGGAAAAACAAAAAGGCAAAAGTCCCAAGTGCTATTATTGCTCATTTTGGGATCAAATCATAATTGGGAGGGAGAAAGCAAAGAAAGAAGAACACATGAATGTATAGCACATATTATATTTCAAAGATTACCGTGCTTTTAAGTCTAGGTCTACCACAGCATGCTAGAGTGAGATGTTCATGCAATGAGTTAGGGAAGTTGATTTTTTAAAAACATGCAGTTGCCTCAGATACTTCTACAATTAAGGTAAAAATATTTTCACCCAAATTATTTGCATCATTGCCTCAATTCTCAAAAAATTTGTTGGCGTAGACTTGTCCTACGATGTCTCATCTAATAAATTTCACATTCCATCCCCAGGCCCAGTTCCTATAACCACTAATAGCAACCATTTTAAGATTCCTCCTCTCTGTTTTCATTCTGACACATAGATCAAACATAAGAGTCACAAGAGTTATTTCTTTTAATCCAAATTTTCTTTGAATTAATCAAATCTGTCTTGTTGTTTTCCATTTAAATTCTCCCTATTGTCTCCTCACACACACACACACACACACACACACACACACACACACACACACCCCACCGCCCCCCAGATCCCATCTGCTTTGGCCTGGGCTAGCCAAGGCGGGTAGTTTGTATCACTCATGGCAATTAGAGAGATGGGAGATCAGTTCAGCGATGGGATGAAAGAGCCATTACAACATACCAAACTTTGCTCATCTTTGTTTCAGTCAAAACCTAACTTAAAACTGCATCGGCCAGTGTTTCTAAGACAAGCTCACCACTAGACATGAGTTTATATTTTTCACTTTCATATTGTGTACTTTGATACACGATGTTGCTGCCAATAATTATGAGTGATCTACACCCAACCTGCCCTTCAGCATTTTACTAAACCTCTTCAACAGTGACTCATAGTTCATACAAAATGTACATGTGTGTTAACAAGTTTTAAGAAATCCAAGAGGGAAGACACACATTTTTTAATGTTGTGGCTAAATGAAGTGAAGGGGAAATGTTAAAACACTAATGAGGATTTTCTTTTAATTATGATTTCCAGAAGGAAGGAACTTGGGCTTGATGCTCAATATAGGAAAAAATGTTTACAAGCTCTCAAGAAAGCTTTGTGTAATGTTTTATTATGGTAAAGTAAAATGAAAAGCCTTTAGTGGTTCTGCTGCTTTTAGTCTTCAAGGATGCCACAATTCAAGATGCTCTGACATCTTCGGTTTTCATACAATACCATCTGGGTTTCCCCATTTTTGCAACCTATTTCCTACTCAAAGCCAAAAAAAATCTATTATCAGCTCCTTAAAAGTTGAAGGTTTGGATGAAAATTAAGAAACCATTAGAATCTCAAATCGAACACGGCAATGTCATTATTCACCAAACTTAGGAGAAACACTCTCTCTTACAACTTTGATTTACTTGAGGGAAATTCTCTACCACAAAGTTGTTAGAGCTGAAAGAGTTGCCAAGTACAAAACAATGAAGTGCAAGCCACAGTCACTTCTAACTCCATAGAGAAGTAGGGAGAAACAGGCGCAGTACACAGGGCCCATGGAGAACACAGCTGGGCTCACAGCCCGCAGAACGGAAAGTGATGTGTATTTATGTACCTCTGCAGAACTGAATATCCGGGTGAAGTGGATAGTAAGTCTGCATATAACTCTGAAAAGTATTATGACTTTTTTAAGGTCCCTTTTTCCTCCTCTACCTGCAAAACTGAGGACGTTGCTTTATGGTCGCCCAGTAGAATCTGGGTAAGTGACAATTGCATACTGTTTGGTGTCCCAGGAATGCCTGCCTGCCCATGCAGCCACAGGAAATAGCCCTGAAGTTCATCCACCTGTGGAAAGAACGCTGTCTTGGGATCTATTCTCTGGTAACAATGTCTATAGAGGGGGGGTTGCTAGGGACACGGCAGAGGAAGAGAGATGGCGCGTGTGACAGACCACCTGAGGGGCAGCGCTTTTGCCTTCCTTAATTTGAGTTCGCCCTGCCACTCCTTGGCCCTCAAATGGGAACGTTGCCCAGGGAAATAACATTAGTACAGCCTCCGTTGTGTTCAAATTGCATCATCGGTTTAACCTTGAAAATACATTTGAATTCAGACGTGCATGCAAAATTGATGGTCTACCCTATAAACATTGTCCAGGCGGACCTGAAGCCTAAGTTCAAATATATAGTATCAACAGTCTTGGAAATTAAGATACAACAGAGGGCACAAATAGGCAAACAAAAATTCGCAGCAGGGACACACTCCTAGCAACACATGTAGGTACAGTATGGCTTCCGTTGGCTCCCTATCCACTTGACTAAAGGCTGCAAAAATTGATCTCCCAAGGCTGCGGTAAGGTCATAGAAACTGATAACCCTTACAAGCAATGCTTATGTGAGTCTGTCTGTGTCTTGCAGATAGTGCACTTTGTAAATTAATCCTCCAAAGGCAAATATATTGTAAGTAGCTTGTTATCTCTAAAATACTAAATTGAAGAATACATGGGATTATATTGACAGAAATTACATTTTCTGTAATGGGGTTTAATATATCTGGAATCTCTCCCAAAGGCTCCCAGGCTCTCTAACAGAGAAGGGTCTGTTAATGTAGGTGCAATGGACATCAAGAACAAATTTGTTCACCAAAATGGATTAGGCCATGTAATCAGAGATTCTATAATATTAATCTTTGACACTTATTGAACAGAAAGAAATACTTCTGTCTGCAAACTGGCATTCCCAGTTCTCTCCTTTCCCCAACCAGGCTGTGAGCCTTTTCTGGATTTTACTTCAAAGAGGATAAGGTTTCCCCATCATAAACACTAATCTAAAAATATTAGGACAATTAATTAGATACACTTAGTTTGAGAGGATATTGGATTTCGATACCTTCAAATATGACACAAGCTCTGGGTGATTATATGAACCTGGCTTTCAGCACACTCACAAAGGGTAATAAATCATACTTTCCCAAAGCCTCGTTGCCATACCACCGTACATTGTCAGAATATTGTTGGCTGGTACTTGGTACGGAATCTCAGCTTCCCCCAAATCAGGAATTCACACATTTATTTAGAAACAGTATTGCACAGCCCGGAGATACAGCAGGTTTTGTATAGCTTCAAAGTGGAAACATAAATAATTTCTCTTTTTCCATGGACGGAAGATGGGAGGAAACGGGAGACTATCCTCGAATGCTCAGGCCTAACAAAATAACTGCAGTTAGTTATTCACTGAATGTAAAACCTGACTGATAAGTGATGGTGGATTTTCTTGTTCCCTAGAAAACAGGATGATACCACTCTTTCTATCGATTATCCTAAAGCGGGGGGAAAAGTCATTTATAGAGCCACAGTGAATGTGAATTAAACACTTATTTATACTATGCCTAAAATTTGTCAGTTTTAAAGGCAATGGAAAACAATGCAATGTTGGGGTGTGTGTGTGTGTGTGTTTTCCATGCTAGCAAGTGCTCTCACCCATCAGTCAACCGTTTACTTTCACCTTTGGATCCACAAGCCACCAGGGAAAAACAGCAACAACTGGGTGTGTCTTCTTAATGCAAAACATTAGCTGCAGGTTGCCAGAGGGGGAAACAGATTGTGTGTAAACACAAAGCCAAATTACTTACCAATTGTTCACTTGTAGGATGGTGAGTCCCGTGTCTTGTGCCAACTGCTTTTTCTGTTCTTCAGAAGGGTAAGGGTGCTGAAAAAGAACAAAAAAGATGTGTGCACATATACTTTGGGCATATAATGCATATATCACATGTCAGGTGCAATGCTAGGGGCTAGGGATTCAATAATAAACACATATGCTCTGTAAAAAAAAAATATGTGTATACCAGGCAATATTTAGGCTATTTTGTCAATAGCCTAAGTGTCCAGCGAAGTCTATAATTAAAGGTAAAAATGCTGAGGTGTGTCACTCTTATTAATGGAATACTACATCATCTAATTAATGGCAGTAAAAGGCAAGCCAATTACAAAGATTAGTGAAGTGTATAAATAGCTACTTAGAATACTTGCAGAACCTTGATACTGAGTTTATCCTTTAAAGGCTTATTTGTTGCAAACACAGAAAGTTTAGTATGATCTTCATTGTATTTTATAGGATTAAAATAAGGACAAGCCCTTTTGATATGAAAGCGTATCACCCTGACATAATATTTTCATAATTCAGAACCACGGGCTTCTAAAGCTGAACCATTTGGACCAACCACCTTAGCTGAGGTCCCCAGTAGTTAAGCACTTTGCTAGCATGACATTTTTCCCTCCAAAACACCATATTGCCAGATGCAAATATCAAAATTAAAGTGGGTGTATTTTTTTTTAGCCACTAATCATTGTAGGTCTTCTAAACACAAACAAATGACATTCAACCAAAGTTGGTTTCCATATCTGAATGTCAACACATGCTGGGATTCTGAACACAGGCCAATACAAGGTCAAAGACCAGCATATTTTGCATGCTAAGAACAAGCCCGGCCATGTTCCTCATGAGTTAGAGCGGATAAAAAAGTATTACAGGATTAGATAATAAAATGATAATAAAATGAAATTCATACCCTCTTGAAAGAATGTTTGGAATTCTACTGAAATTAGTTTCGGCACAAATACTTTTTGTTCAGTAATGAACTATATCTAAATCTGAAATACATGTTTCTGAAGCGGGACATGGTATCCATCTATGGACACATTGACCAGCTTGAAACGCTGCACCCCAAGAAATTCTCCCAAGATAAAAATTGTTCTGCTAGTCAACGCTCTATTCCCTTATGAATAAGAAAGGGCACCCTCAACTCTCAATTTAACTATCTGTGCCATTGGAAACTATATTCTGGTCTATTGAATGTTAATTAACATAGCTTTTAATCTCATTAATAATGTCTGATTAGATGCTAAGAAGGCTCGTTAATGACCACTTTAATGCTCTTATATGTAAGTTTAAATATGTTCTATATCTGTACACGTGGGATTCGTTTGTGGAGAGCAGAGATGTTAGCAATTTTTCCCATAAGCATTGTCTTTGATTGTCACTTAATCAATAAATACACAATTAGAATAAGGCTTTGCTTTCATGGAATATAGTGCCTTTCTCTAAAGAGCTCCAAGTATATTACAGACAGGATGGTGATTAATCCCCATTATATCCCTTTGAGGGACATAAATGGAATCTATTGTCCCTCCTGTCTTCCAGGTGAGGAAACTGGCCAGGGAAAGGCACAGTCAGCAGCCACACAACTCAGCGATATTTCCTGCTTCCCTTCCAGTGTCTAAGTCTCACCATGACTGAGGGATGTGGCAAATGCCTCTCAGAATCTTCATTCTTTTTTTTTTTTAAGATTTTATTTATTTATTTGAGAGAAAGAGAGAGTGAGAGAGAGCATGAGAGGGGAGAGGGTGAAAGGGAGAAGCAGACTCCCTACCGAGCAGAGAGCCCGATGTGGGACTCGATCCCAGGACTCTGGGATCATGCCCTGAGCCGAAGTCAGTCGCTTAACCACTGAGCCACCCAGGCGCCCAGAATCTTCATTCTTATGCCCGCTCCAAAACCTCCAGACTGCTTACTATGGCCTGCAAGGCACGCCACCATCCAGCTCTGCCCACCTCTCAGACTGGGTGGCCTTTTCTTCACACCCTCCCCCGCTCCACCCCTCTGTCCAGCCACACAGTCCTCCTTTCTGTTCTTCCAACACACCAACCTCATCCCTACCACTCAGGCTCCTGCTCCGGGGTCACTTTCTCATCTCAGCCCAAAGGCCAAACCTCACCCACCCAGTGTCCACCAGCCTACCTTACTGTTCTCACGTCAGGCTTTTCCTTCTTCCCTAATGGCAAAGCATCGCTCTCTGAAACACCTGCTCTGATGATTTGGGTCCTGTGGGTGTGCCTCCTCTCACTCACCTAGCAACTCCAAAGTAGTGACTTTCGCATTCACCATTCTCAAAGCCCAGCGTGGCACATAATGGGAGGTCAGTAAATATCTGTGAAACAAGAAGGAGGCTACGTCCTGCCATGATACACAGATACTCTCCACTCAGATGCAACATCAAAATGTATAATAAAAATGTTTTCAACAGCCCACAGGAGGGATAAGCAATCTAATTTGAGATCCACAATGCTACTTTCCTGACTGCATTCCTAACAGTGATGTCAACCCACTCTTCTCAAGTAACAGTATATAAACTTCATAATAGGTTAAGATCATAGGTGACAGTCCCCCTACTCAACATAATGCCAGTCATCCTAGGAAAATCTCATGCCTGGATACTGAGCTAAAAGCAATTCTCTACCCTAAGGTTTAAAACATAGCTCCAGCCGCACAATACAAACCATATGAACCTCTTATCCTATGAACAGATACTGAATTAGGGTTTGATATACAGAAGTTCTCTGTCTACACTAGTTGAAGAATTGTATATAAGGTATACACGGCCCCATTAGATTGTATAAATTATGCTGCCACTCGCTAATTACGAGCTTTCAGACAAGGGACAACTTTTCTAATCCTCAATTTTGTCATCTGGAGTTGAAGATCCATCAAAGTTAGAGGTTACCCGGGCTTGCAATTCTTCCACATGATAAGCCTGATTTTGAAAAACACAAATTTTAGCATCTAAGCTGTTGGCACTCCTTGCCATATAAAGTTGTAGACCCATGTACACAAGTCGTTTCCAATCTGTAACATCTTCTGTAATTTGCTTATGATTTTTCAGGTCCTGTGGAAAGCTCAGTGGTTTTCAATAGAATTAATAAGTATGTCAACAGTCTCACTTCACTATAGCTGGACGGCAGTACCTTTTGCCCTGTCTTGTTGGTTGTGTCTTAATATAATGACCAGAACTGGATAAAAATTAATATTTATGCCATTTACCTTTAGTTACTTCAAAAATTGAGGATGGTCACAGTCATTTATTTGTGCTGTGTTTTCAAGAGTATTTTTGCATGCCTGTTTGTGAGGAAGTTTTACAACCATTCTTACAAAGCAAATGGAACTCACATTTTATTTATGCAGGTGGTGTCAGGAAAATTCTCTCTGGATCATTAAAATTACCTGAATCATTACAGTTTCAAAGAGCAATCAATGGCCCTCAAAATTTCAGCGCAGATTTAGGTTGTTTCTTCACATCATGCAGTTTCTGATTTCATAATTTAAATATCATAAAATGAGAAAGTTCTAGCCTTTTTTTCCTGTCACTTTTCATGTGATCTGATTTTAAGTAATTGGAACAAACTGTGTCTAATTTCATGCAGCATAATTGCTAGGCAGCCTCAAGCTATGGAGACCCAGCACTCTGTCTCCATTAAACAATTTTCAGTCATCAGGATATATATATATTTTTTAATAGAAATGAATGAGCCTGGATGAAATTAAATGTCACAATAATCTGGTCATTGTTAAGGGGGTGGGGGGAAAGGTGTCAACAAAATTCCCTAAACCCTTGTCTATGGCAGGAAGATGGAATTTTTTCTTTTTCTCATAGTTCTTGGCCTGCGTGTCCCACAAACTTTTAATTCCCTGAAAAACAAAACAAAACAAAACAAAACAAAACAGAAAAACGCAAACCCATAATTGCTAGAATCACATGAAAGCTGTGACTTCAGGTAGCTAATCCACAGTCAGCCAAAAATTCACAAAGAAGCAAGCTTTTAACTGAAATCCAGTATCTTTAAATATCTTAAATCCTATGCATCTTTCCTAAATAAGCTTTTTGTGGGCAGTATGAGTTATTCCTTTGTAGACTTAAAAAAAACGGCTTGACAAAAACCCAACATGCCACGAGCAAGGCTGCTGTAAAAACATTCAAAATCCTGTTGTATTATGCCCACAGGGCTGGTGAGGCCGTTAGAGGGAAAAGGTAGACATCATTTTACAAAAGAGATAAAGAGATGTGCCATTTTAGGAAGAGAATGGGAAATTCCTTCCAAACCACTGCAACCAAGAGCCTTGGTCACCCCTTGCCGGTCTCCTGAACACCTTTGCTATTAATGGCAAGGACACCCCTTTAAGGAAGATCAGGAGGTTCTTATGAAGGGAAGAGGGGTTGCACTTGCCAGCTACACCAATCAACCTAATCACTTTGGGATATCAAAGCAAATTTGACCACAGTCCAATAGGTAGTGACAGGAGACCTCGCCTTTGTTGTGTACATTAGCGTCATGCCATTCTCTCTTAAAAGCTTAATTATTTGCAAACAATTGATCAAGATGGGAATTTGAGAAAGGATATGCAGGGGCCACTGGGAGAACTGAACGCATTAAGAGAGCAAACAAAATTACCTTTAGATCTTACAATCAGAATTAACGATTGAGACGGGACAGCTAGGCTGGGCAGTAGCTGCAAGCGCTCTTTCCCGAGTGTTTCCCATTTGATCTGCATTAACACCTCAGGAATGAGTGAAAGCCATAAAAGAGTGATTATGTCAGGGTAAAGCTGACCCTCCCTTCCAGCACCAGCCCGGCACACGTGTATTAGGCTGGCTTCGCTGGGGAGAGAAGAGATGATGGACTCCATGGGAAAAGCAGCAGCTTGGGGGGGTGGGGGGTGGGGAATGGGACCCCAAGCACAGGGAATAGCTCACAATCTGATCATCCTGATTTCAATAATCAACACCCTGACTTCTCCTTTCCGGGATAAGTCTCCTGCTGAAAGAGAAACAGTTTGTCCCTCTTTGTGTTTCTGGCTCTGAAGTGCGACTTCTAATA